AGGTAAACTCACGGACCATATATCTCATGATAAAAAATGACCAAAAAAAGATCCTGCTTTTCTTTATATATATTTTTTTAATTTTGTTTAAATCGATTTTAGTTTTTGATTTTTAAAAAATCTTAACAAAGTCGGATTCAAAAAAAAAAAATATAGGAGTGTAGGGTTTTTTTAGCCCTACACGCCCATTTTTTTTTTTCATGCATTAAAAAAAAAAAAAAAATCTTGCACCGAAGTCGGCTGGTCGGCCTAAGCAGAACCCGGCCAATTCGGCCATCAGCCTAGGCCGCGGCCGACTTGGACCCCCCGTCCGCGGCTGGGCGTGCAACATAGGCCGTCTAAGATACCCCCACCAAAAAGAAACAAACAATACAGGGGCTAGCGCTTGGGAACGAGCTACCCCCTTATATTTGTTTTGGTGTTTTTGTCTTTGCTTGCAATAATTCTCCTCAAATCTGCATAGCTATGGGCTCTAGGTCGTTACTTTCGGTCAAAGGCCCGAAACAGGTGTCAAAAGTCACGCCCTAAGTCTAAGAAAAGCCAGGGCAAAGGCCTAAGGCCAAGGGCCCAAGGGGTACCCAGGGCAGGGCCAAAACCAGCATTCAGAGGCCCTTAGAAGAATAGTTTACGTTCCGAAAGTCAACGGTCAACCCCAGTACGGGAATCCAGACCCAGAGGTCAAAGTCAACCAGTTGGTCAGCCATGGTCATCAATCAGATGCACTTCTATGGGTGTTTGCAGGCATCCGGAAGATTCCAATCCGACTGGGACACAAAGGGAATTGAGACTGCGCTACATCCAGCCATCGGCTACTGATTCAATATTGGCCGTCGACCCAGGTAGACGGGAGGCTGGTCAACGTGAGTCAACACTAAGAAGTTGACCCAGCCCCTGCTTGCGGCATTCTGCCTTGTGCTGGCTTATTGTTGGTGTGACAACGCAAGGCTGCTGGGGCTTTGACTGTGTGAAAGCCCCCTGGCAAGCGTTAGGCTCTAATTGTGGGGAAGCCCCCTGGCGCACGTTAGCGCTAGCGCTATGGCTTGCGGGCCGCCGCGGCACGCGGATGGTGGCATGATGGTTGCTTGCAGGTGAGGCGCAGACTGGTCGGAGGTGGCGGGGCGCTGGCTTCTCGCGAGTTGCGAGGCGCTGGTTGTGTGAGTGCAGCGAGGCGCTGGCTGCTGGCGGGGGGCGAGGCGCTGACAACAGGTGAGTGGTGGGGCGCTGGTGACTTGCGGCTCGCGAGGCGCTGGCTTGAGGTGACTAGTAAGATGCTAGCTGACACGTGGCACGGTGCTAGCAGCCGACGGGAGGGAGGCGCTGGTGCGATGGTGCTGTGATGTTGTGAATTAGATGGGGGATAGCGCTTGACGCACGCACGGTATCCAGAGGCGCTGGGTCATTACTATGTCACAGGTTGACGTGGCATCTGGCCTGAGGCACAGAGGAAAAGGGAGAATGGTAGCGGCAGCTGCTGTTTGAACATTTTCCCTGTGTTTTTCACATGAAGTACTCCATAGCCAAAACCTTTAAAGAGGCTGGAGAGCTCATGCGAGTTGACGAAAGTCGATGTCGGTGGAGGAAAGTGGAGTCAGGCCCGTGGAAACCAAAGTGCGGAGAACGTTGGTCCTACTTGAAGAATCGTCACAGTGCCACTTGGAAAGAATCATCAAGAGAGCGGCTAGAGGTCGTCATCAACCTATATATGTGCTTTCGTCTGTTTTTTGTCTTGTGCAGGTTATCCATCAAGAGCATCGAGATTTTCATCACTGTCTTTTCAGCGGGGGTTTTTCAGCAAGGACACCATCATTTTTGTAATCCTCATTTGGTTACCGGTGGTAATCATCATCGGCTTCTCTAATTCGTCATCCATGTCATTTATCTTCTTTTTATCTTCTTCATGATTATCATCCGGACTTCTCTGTAAAAATCGTAATCATCGTCATCTTCTATTTTCATTACAGCAATAGTGAGCTGTCAATCTTCCACACCGTTGCCATTAGGACATCGCAAGTTCGATGTTCCTTAATTATTTTTGCCAATTTTAGTTCAACATCATCATCATCATCATCTACCAATCTGAATCTTTATCATCATCATCATCGTCTACCAATCATCATCATCATCACGGCTTCTTTATTCATTTTTTCATCAATCAGTAGTTATCTCTGAGTTGGTGGTTATATTTTCATCTCCCAGATAGGCTATGGTCTAGTTGGTAGGTATGTTGGTCAGGAAGGGAGCGCTACTCCGCAAGGGTAACACAAGGTGGGAGGTGATTGCCCTCCAGGGAGTAGACGCAGATGATGGAAGCTGACCTGGGCTGGGGCTGGGAGATATGTATGGGGGCGCATTATCTCCTGGTGGAGGCAGACTAGGTCAGAGTGTTAGTTTTGAGGTACACCTTTTGGGGGAACTGGTTACCTCAAGCCTCAAGGTAGAAGGGAATGGGGAGGTTCTCTCTCTCGTTGGGGCTGGGGTTGTGCTCAGTGGAGGCAGCGAGAGGAGAAGAGGAAATGAGGGGAGAGGAGGAGCATACATGGAAGAAGGGGAGGGGTGGAGAGAAATAATCATCAGCGTCGTCATCATTATCCATCATCTTTGTGATCATCTCAGGGTACTCGTCAAATTTCATCATCAGAAAGTTTTGCTGATCAGGATTCTGATATTATCAGATCCTTGATTTCTGGTTGGCATTCTAGATTAGCTAATTTCCTAATTGAGTCTTCTTGTGCAATGGCCAGGTTGAGTTGGCGCCAGAACGACGCTAGCCGGCGCTGGGGCAGTGCCCTGTAACCTGCTTATGTAGGAGCTTGAGGCTTTGTATAGAGGTCTGGAATTGCCGAGGGAGGAAGGCAATCTGCAAACTTGACTAATGGCTACAATCTAGCCGACAATGGTCGGAGCTGGGGTGGGTAGCAGTGCCCTGTAACCGAGCCAGATTGGGGTGTGAGACCGGGAAGAGGCCTGATTGGTGCACAGTTCGGGCTCAATTGTGATTGGTTGTTTGGAATGGATACAGGAAATTAGGGGTAGGATAGTACTTCAGTGCTGAGTAGACAATCTTTCGGATTAGTCATCATCTAGTTCTATTTCATGACCTCAATCACCCACTCTGACATCCTATATCATCCAAAATGATCCTCAATCATCCCAAATTTTCATCAATTGTCAATCATCTATGTATTCCCATTATAAGGGACGCTGGGCCCGGTTCCCAGATGTGATGCTAAAAAAAAAA